CACCCTAACAGAAATAAGGCTTGAAATACAATATTGACTGAAGTTAGTGAGTTGTCTTGCTGTTTTTTTTTTAATACCAAAGATAGAATATATTTCGAAAATTATTTCTTGAATAAATGATTCTAAATCGTAGTTACTTTCAGGTAATTTGGTGCCCCGAGAATGCACAACACCAAAACATATTACTTTTGTGCAGTAGCTTTTGTTTTGCTTTTAAGGTTTTCGTGAAAGAATTGACAGTTTTCTAAATTGTTTTTCATTTTTTTAACATTAAAATGTTTCAGCTTTCTTTTTCTCAATAAATTTCTTAAAGAAGTAAGTGTGGTAAAGTCTTGTGGTATCCTTTAATGCTTATTCGTCTAACAGATCAGTAAGTTAATTTTCTCTCAGTAAGTCTTTGAATAACATGTAACTAAATAAACTTAGTTTAATCCCAATATACGAGAGCATCTAAATTAACAATAGAATTAGCACCTCGTTAAAACGTTCAATGCAAGTAGAGAATAAGTGAAATTATCTATAATTAGCACGAATGCTACCCACGTATATTTCATAATTTATTTTCGAAACGAAAAGAGAAGAGTCAAACTTCGAATACGTTCGTCGAGAATAACCTTAATGTTGAAAAACTGGGTAACGTTATATAGGAAATGTAACCATGTTTGTTGTATCTGAGCCATGTATGTTAAACAGGTTCATTGATGACAGTAATAAAGACTAAAAATACACGATTCGAGTTTAGAATAATATATGAAAAAATATTTCAGAGAGTTTAATGTTCATCAATTCGTAATAACTCCAAATGTACCAGCTTTGTGTAAAAATTAGAAAAATATCAAAACCGTCATTAATCTTCATCCTTGCCAGTGTACATCATAACACATCCTTCATTTACAAAGAATATCCCTTAAGAAGGACCTTCAAACGCGTTCCGATAATTTACTCCAGCTTCTAATGAGTAAAATCATAACATAATCCTTGGTTATTACACAACTTCGTCGCTAGCTGGGTCTGTAAAATCCTCTACAACACAGACACCGAACGGTTCGCTAACATCGCCTGCAAGCGAATGGATCAATGAAGAAATGCCGTTGAAAATTTTACAGAGTAGAAGAAAAATTGTAGTACGTCGTTTAACATCACACTCTGAAACTGGGATAAAAATATATCGCCCAACGTGGGGCTCGAACCCACGACCCTGAGATTAAGAGTCTCATGCTCTACCGACTGAGCTAGTCGGGCTGGTTTTTTAATTATCATATTTTTTGTTCTTTGTAAATATGTCTCTAATTTGCAATTTTGAGTGAGTATTCACTTTTTCCTACCTTATCCCTCACTAGATGCCTACTAGAGTTATATCTAAATAGCGAGAGTATTTCATTAAAGAATTCCCTAAAGACAAATTTCTATTCTCTTAAGCCTACGTCTGTGTTCACTTCTTTGAATAAAAGGAAACAAGAGAACTGGAATTGCACGAAGTCTGATCAGCCATCCCTATTCAAAGGGTTAACAAATTTACATACGTTAATCGTTTGAGGTACTTACCTTTCCTCTATGTGTATGAAAGTAACAAATACAGGAGATGGTTCTTTCACCGTGCTTAGGCCTAAACGAAATCTAGCTAATGTTTTCTGTAGAACAATAATTTGAAACAAATTTGACCTTAAAAGCTTCACCAAATTCCCCACGCCAAGAACATGTGGAGGAATTTATACTCAAGCCAGCTTACGAACGTAAATATTTTCATCCTTTTCTATTTCAGGATTTATAACGCTGAAATAGAGGGCTCGATTACACGCATTCCACACAGCGCAGATAAGCTGTAGTACAGCTTTGCGATAAATGAAAGAGACGAGCTCTCTTTCCTTTTTACCATTACATTTCGAACAAGTTTAAACGCGTTTAAAGTATAAAGAGGCTCAATATAGATTTTCTTCGTGCAATCTCGCTTATACAATGCACATTGTCGCAAATTACGTACAACGGTATAAGCATTTTCTAAAAACTTAAAACTGTTGTTCACAAATGACATATTTCGTGTTTCATATGAAAATTTCTCTTTAATACAATACTCCTTGTTAATGCGTATTGACAAGAGAAAGTGTAAACCAATGCTGAACTGGTGTGAAACTCGAGGATTTATCAAAGGATTTCACACACCACATATTTTCTAAAGATGTTTTGTTTTTAATTATGCACAAAGCTACACAAGGGCTGTCTGTGCTCTGCCCACCACGGGTATCGAAACTCGGTTTCTAGCGTTGTAAGTCCGCAAGACATACTGCTGTGCCACTGGGGGGCATTCTAAAGATGAAATGAATTCAAAACTTTAGATAATAACACATCTTCGTTACAATTAAGTCTCTTTTGAATAACTTGCATAATATTGTTGCACTATCCTATTCGTTCTCGTTTTTCCTTATAGTTGACTTCATCTTTTTACTCTGTTTTAATTACTATTTAGAAAATGTTTGCACTTTATAAATTTGTGTACCTAATAGTTTACCTTCTTCAATATAGCTTGCTAAAGATGAAATATGTACATTCAGAAATGTTAAAGAATTAAATGTTTGTTACCGTACACACGCACGTGTCAAATGTTTGTTGTTTTTGTCGTCGTTCTATTGTTCATCATTAAAAATAAGTATTTTGAAAAACTTGAATTTTTATTTCCAACGCACGCTTTGAGCTATAATTGTCGCATTTTTTGCCATCTTTATTAAAGTTTTCAATAAAAGAATTTTATGTTTGTATACTTTTAAATACCCCTTTAATAAACTATATCCTATATTGGAAAAGAAGCTTTGGGTGGTTTTTATAGGGTGGTGTTTTTCACTATTTACACAGATAGCAGGACCTCAGCCGATACCTTAATTATATAAATAAATCGAACTGCTAGAACAGTTTAGTTAATGTCCAGACTCCACAATTCGCACACCGAGGGAAACAGCAACCATCCCATCTTGTTTGAAAATTTCAAAGTCATCTCATCCGAATTATTCAATATTGAACTTTCGATTAAAGAAACATTATCTATTATAAAAATTACTAGTTTTCTTTCGTTCTCCCACATGTTCGCGGGTGTAATTGGCGTATAGTTTTGTCAAGGTCATTGCATTACAGCCACTACACGTACATTTCTACACCATCTTGAAATGCATAGGGCTAGGTGATTGGATTCTATACCCGAATTGGTTTTGATTCTTGAAAGATGATTTAAATGTCATCTTTAGTTTAAAGTGTGATTTAAAAGTTTTCATTTTTCTTAAAATTTGTGACTTCAATATTTTTACACCTGACGTTTATGTATATTTTACACCCTAACAGAAATAAGGCTTGAAATACAATATTGACTGAAGTTAGTGAGTTGTCTTGCTGTTTTTTGTGTTTTTTTTAATACCAAAAAGAGAATATATTTCGAAAATTATTTCTTGAATAAATGATTCTAAAACGTAGTTACTTGTTCGAAGAGGGCAGCTTTTGGAAAAGTTTGAGGGACTTTGCTGACACTGTAACAAACCTGGGCACAAGAGAGCTCAATGCCAACAACTACAAAACAGGGAAGATGCCATGACAGGAAATGCTGCAAACCAGAAAGGTTGTTGGAACTGTGGAGAGCAAGGACATATGAAGATCCAATGTAAGAAGAATACTAACAATAACTCAGCCCCAAGGAAACCAGTAGTGGTCGGTGTTGAGGGATGCCCACCTACCCGCACCGTGAAAGTCCCAACAGCTAGGTGTAAAATGCCAAGCACACATAGTGTCTACGTGACAGGAAAGCTGGATTGCCAAAGGTGCAACTTTGTCATAGATTCTGCTTCTCAGCAAACACTTGTGAATATCAAGGTGCTAGATCACAAAAGAGTACCTCAAGCCATACAGAAGCTCTGTGGTTGAAAGGGCATTATGCAAGATTGTGGGGACCAGTGTGGGTAACTATTGAGCTCATGGGCATGAAGGACAGACACAAAGTATACTTGGCTGACATTGAAGACCAATGCATATTAAGATTGGACTACTTACTACCTGGCCCGGCATGGCCAGATGGTTAGGGCGCTCGACTCGTAATCTACGGGTCGCGGGTTCAAATCACCGTCCCACCAAACATGCTTGCCCTTTCAGCCGTGGGGGCGTTATAATGTGACGGTCAATCCCACTATTCGTTGGTAAAAGAGTAGCCCAACAGTTGGCGGTGGGTGGTGATGACTAGCTGCCTTCCCTCTAGTCTTACACTGCTAAATTAGGGACGGCTAACGCAGATAGCCCTCGTGTAGCTTTGCGCGAAATTCAAAACAAACAAACAAACAATATTTACTACCAAGGAAGTGTGTTGTTAATTTTGATAAAATGACGTTTGAGAACAACAAAGGCCGAATTCTGGTAAGTGTTAAAAGGGAGGTTGAACTTACCAGGTGCCATCAAGCTGAAGTCAAAGTGACTGAAAGAGTTGATGATGGTGAAGTGGAACCAAATATAGACATCAAAGCAGAACATGAGAAATACCAAGATTTGAAGCCAATGATTGATTTTCTAAAAGCAAGTGTTT